CGGAGAGACAGAGTTGATGGATATGGTGGTGGGAATCAAAAGGTGAAACCTGTGGAGAGGACGACGCGGACGATGTGCGAAAAGGGTGAAAGCAGCGGAAAGACTGGGAGTGCTGAGGAGCCTCAGCAGAGTGTAGTTTGTTTGAAGCAAGGGAAGTATCAGGGTGCAATTCATGAGGGCGTGGCCAGCTTTCTGGGCATCCCATATGCTGCTTGCGAACAGAGGTGTGAAATTCGAGAAAGTTTCATTGAGGTTTGGAACACAACAGCCAGACGGGAGAATGTTCCAGCTTCCTCGGGTCATTAAACAATAATGTCTCTGTGTTCTTCTGAAAACGTGCCTGATGGTGGAGGCCATCGCTATTAGGAACAAGAAGCTACTAGGGGCTCCTGGCCTTACTACTAGGAGCAAGAGGACGCTACTAGGGCTCCTGGCATCGCTACTAGTAGCAAGAAGCTACTAGGAACAAGTGCATCGCTACTAGTAACAAGTGCCTTACTAGTAGTAACAAGAAGGCTATTAGGTTGGAGGCCATCGAGGCCATTCGTTTGTGATTTGAACCCTGCGAAGGTGGACACCTGCGAAGGCGCCCAAGCCGTCGACGGCTTCGCCGTCCGTGTCCCGACGTTTGGTGCGCTGTCCTCAGCCAGGCCCACCAGGGCGAGGCCCACAGGGTGAGGAGGTCCTTGATGACGAGGAGAATGCTACTACTAGCGTCCTTGTTACTACTAGTAAGGCACTTGTTACTAGAAGCGATGCACTTGTTGCTAGTAGCTTCTAGGTACTAGTAGTAAGAATGCTCCGTTCGTAGTGATGCCCTTTGTTCCTAGTAGCGAACATTGTTCCTAGTAGTAGGGCCAGGAGTCCCTAGTAGCGTCCTTGTTCCTTTGATGACGAGGAGGAAGGCCCTTTTCAGCTCAACATTTGGACACCTCTCAAGGCTGTCCAACCTACAAGCGATGGCGATGGCCACACGACACCTCTCGAAGATCGCAAATCTCTTTGTCCAGTGTTGGTCTATATTCACGGCGGTGGTGGCAAGTCCCATTCGGCTCACAGTGTACATGAAAGTGGACACCAGCTGGCTGCGCAGCAAGGCACGGAGTCCAAAAGGAGAAAGGAGAAAGCCATTTGTTACTAGTAGCATCTAGTAGCTTCTTGCTCCTAGTAGCGATGCCAGGAGCTACTAGTAGCTTCATGTTTGTTTCAGTTTAAAAATCAAGGCTCGGACTCCATCCTAGTAGCGATGGCCTCCAATCCAATAGCGATGGCCTCCAAAGAAGGCGCATCACTCAATCTCGCTTTCATACATACAAAATCGATCTCCAATCATTTTCAAGCTGTGTGTATGAAGGCTAAAGGGGTGACACAATGGCAGGAACAGGAACAAAGATAGATTGTCTACATTGCTCACGTATAGAAACTGACCAGAGGACGCCAGAGCGGTTTTGTTTTTTGTTTTTTGCACAGTTTGGGAAACAGATCGAAAAGGGTAGGGCTATGGCTATAGGCTATAGTAATTACTCGCATGGAAATGTCTCAAGGACTGACTCATTTGGAGATCCTAGTAGCGAACCTTGTTACTAGAAGCGATGCACTTGTTCCTAGTAGCGAACATTGTTACTACTAGTAAGGCACCTGTTACTACTAGCGTGGCACTTGTTCCTAGTAGCGAACCTTGTTACGCATGGAAATGTCTCAAGGACTGACTCATTCTGAACAAAATCATGCGGAGTTAACTTTCCTGATCGGTTGTTTGCAATGCACGCAACACGCTGATTCCAATGGCCTCGCGCAAGCTTCATTCGGATAAACACAGGTGTACAAAAAGATTGCGAATCGAAGGCAGGGCCACTGATCTACAAAAGTTAGTAGACAGACGCAAAAGTGCCAGATGAATGGCATTTCTTGGGTTGCAGCGCCCAGAAAAGCCAAAACGCAAGAGAGAGAGAGAGAGAGCACACTCGCCTTGTGATAGCCTTGCTTGCGCGGACGTAACTTACTCCTCCCTGATTTTTCAATACGTCCAATCTTTACTCTGCAATAATCACATTTAGTTGTCAATGTACTGACAAGGTCTTGCAGTGCTCACTGTACAGCAATTTTTCCAAGATTGCAAGTGTTTTTTTTGTGTGAAACAAGTACGTGCATATGAAGTTAAGATGAGGTCTTTGCTGTGTGAACATCAACTATCGCTTGGGCATTCTTGGGTTTCTCGCCCATCCAGACTTGTCAGCTGAAGATGCAGAAAGAGAAGAACATGAAGAACATGGTGAAGATTCTGATCGGCTTTCAGGGTCTGGGAATTACGCGATTCTGGATCAAATTGCTGCACTTCGTTGGATCCAGCAGAACATTGCTGCTTTTGGAGGTGACCCAGGGAAAGTCACCCTCTGGGGTCTTTCCTCGGGTGCTCAATACGTGTGCAACTTGTTGGTCTCGCCGGCGGCGGAAGACTTGTTCCACCGAGCAGTGGTGCAGAGCTGCACAGATCTGAACAACGTTCGTCAAGTTCATGGAAGCTGCAAAGTGTGGCTCGGCAAGACCGCTGAGGATTGGGGCCAAGCTGTTTGCAAGGAGCGGACAATTTCAACTGATTAAACAAAGGATGAAGCACCTTCAACTGCCCAAGCCGGGGGCCGTGTAAGATGTTTGGCATATCCTTTCTCAGACAAAAGGCAAACATTCACCATGTGTAATCACCCTGCCAGGAGATAACAGGAATCGAGGGTGCAGGTCAGTTGTCTGCGATGCGTTCCACAAAGGTGGAGGAGATGGCAATTCTTCTTGTTCCGTTCGTAGTAAGGATGCTCCTAGTAGTAAGGCCAGGAGCCCCTAGTAGCGTCCTTGCTCCTAGTAGATGGCAATTCTTCCTTTTCTTATTTCTTTGTTTCTAGTAGCCATGGCCTCCACCCTAGTAGCGATGGCCTCCGCCCTGCTGCGGAGGAGATTCTTCAAAAGACTTTCTGCGAAGCTGCTGCGGATTGTTATGAGCCGGCCATCAATCGAGCAAGGAATGCCGTCAAGCCGATGTCATCGATGGAGGCTCTGATGGGAGGACATTTTCATCGTGTCCCCGTTCTATTGGGAGTCACGGAGCATGATGGCTTAGGAAAATGCGAGTTGGAGCAGACCTTTTTGCACGATGTACGCAGCCGAGCTGACTTCAAGGAGCTTTTGCAAGAGGAGTTTGGAGATAAAGCCGAAGAAGTCTTCTCGCATTATTGGAGCAGTCTTCCGGATTTGTCGGAAGCGCACGCTGTGCACAAATCATTGAGCCTTCTGAGCAATGATCTATGGTATTTTGCAGGGACATACTGTATGGCCGAGATGACTGCTTTGCATGGCCGAAATGATGTGTTTCTTTACTGCTTTGCAGGTTCCAAGAGAAGTTCCCATGGAAGTGACATCAGGTTTTGGAGGGGTACTGGAGGATCTGGATCTAAAAGGCTTTCCAGTATCATGGCCAGAAGAGCTCCGTTCGTAGCTTTTTGTTACTAGAAGCGATGCACTTGTTCCTAGTAGCGTCCGATCGCTCCTAGAAGCGATGCCCTTTGCTCCTAGTAGCGAACCTTGTTCCTAGTAGCTTCTTAGTTACTACTAGTAAGGCACTTGTTACTAGAAGCGATGCACTTGTTCCTAGTAGCGTCCGATCGCTCCTAGTAGCGATGCCCTTTGCTCCTAGTAGCGAACCTTGTTCCTAGTAGCTTCTTGTTACTACTAGTAAGGCACCTGTTACTACTAGCGTGGCACTTGTTCCTAGTAGCGATGCTTGTTCCTTCAGGTATCATGGCCTCTTACCTCGGAAACTTTGCCCACTATGGAGATCCCAATGATCCGAACAGAGCTGAACTTCTTCCTGAATGGAAAGCTTTTAGCGCTGAAACGCCGCAATGGATGTTTTTGGCTGCAGACCCTGCAATGCAGAAGATGCAGAAGATTGAAGAGAGTGCTTTGTGCTGGTACAAACTTATTGCTCGTGAATATTTCTCAAAGCGAATCATGCAAAAGGTGGATGCAGACGCAGTTCAATCTGACAAGAAGCTTCTGCAAGGAGCTTTCAAGCGTTCTTGTACTGGTGAAAAGGCACAGCTAAACGCCTCCACAGACCATGTTGATCAACTGGAGTTGGGTTTACTTATGCAATCGGCGCTCACCAAGGCACCCAGTCTTTGAAGAATGCAGCGAAACGCTGAAAGCGGCAATGGCCTCCAACCTAAGAGGGATGGCCTCCACCATAGTAGCAATGGCCTCCATTCAAATAGCGAACCTAAGCGCAATGGCCTCCAACCTAAGAGCGATGGGAACATGTTCTGCAAAAACTCACGATCAGCATCGAAGGCAAACCCATAAAGCGACCAAGAGTTTTTGTTGGAGATTCTTCACGCGCACCATCCCAACTTGGAACAAGTAGTAACAAGAAGCTAGTAGTAACAAGTGCCTTACTAGTAGTAACAAGAAGATCAGGATTCTCAACAAACTTTTGCCTTGAGAACGCAGCCTGAAAGGCGTGACGGCGTGACAAAGCCTTTTTACAACTCTTCTTGAGCACTAATTGGACCCCGACTGGACAACTGTGAGATGTCAAGGGGAAAACCAAATTTGGACAATGGTTTGACAGCTTTCACAACTTCGTAGTAGCCATGGACCTGTTTTTGCAGGGTGAATTTAACATGCTTTGTTCGGTTGCAATGGGTTTGCGATGATAGTTGTGACAGGTCTTCAACATCAGGTGCGTTGGAAGGGGCCACTTTTTCTACTAGTAACAAGTGCCACGCTAGTAGTAACAGGTGCCTTACTAGTAGTAACTAAGAAGCTAGTAGTTAATTTAATTTAATTCTATTTTAATTCTAATAGCTTTTTGTTACTACTAGTAAGGCACCTGTTACTACTAGCGTGGCACTTGTTACTAGTAACTTTTTCTCATGTTTCTGGCAGCATTTGGCTTCAGAAAACCCATGGCTCGGTGAAAACCCGCTCGGGTTCACCGGCTCGGTGCAATGGCTCGGTGGTGCACCGTTGAATTCTTTTTGTCACTGGGCGGAAAGAGTTCAGACAGTGTCCTTTGTCAGTGTAAACAGAAATATGCGGAAAAAGGAAAGAAAGGACTGGTCTAACGAACAGGTCGAAAGAACACAAATCAAAAAGAAACAGTCTAAAGGTCTAAAGAAGAACAGAAGAAAGAAAGGAAGGTCCAAAGGACATACAAAGGCATTTTCAATAACAGGTCCAAAGGTCGCATTTCTATTAATTACAATTCTAACTAAATTCTTCTTGGTACTACTAGTAAGGCACTTGTTTCTACTAGGTCACATTTCAATGTCCTCGGAACGCCAAAGGCATTTTCGCCCTTTAGCATCCCTGCTCTTCCCTTTTCTTTCGACGAAGCCTCCTATTTGTGAAGTGGGATTGGACATCACAGCTTGAACCGAACAACAGTTTTTTACAAAAAAGCGATGGCCTCCAAGAGCTTGAAGAACTCTTTCGAGTTAAGCATGTTTAAGACTATGCTAACTTGAAAGTGGATGGTCAACGCCTTGAACACATACATTGCTTCCTGGTGAAGGTGTGTCCCTTCCATCGCGTAGGCATGTGTGTGAGACTGCTGCATGAGCTTTGGTTGTCGCAACGCGTTATGTTTGCAGAATCTGCATAGCTTTTGCAAAAGCTACTAGTAACAAGTGCCTTACTAGTAGTAACAAGAAGCTACTAGGAACAAGTGCCACGCTAGTAGTAACAGGTGCCTTACTACTAGGAACAAGACAACAGTTGAGAGGCCCACAAAGGTGCAAAAACAGGGACCGAGCAGAAGGGCAAAAGCGGGGCAGGTACAAAAGACCTGCGCAGTCTGAAACCAAATCGGGGCTCCTGGCCTTACTACTAGGAGCAAGAAGCTACTAGGAACAAAGGGCATCGCTACGAACGGAGCAAGGACGCTAGGGGCGGTTGGAGGCCATCGCTAGTAGTGTTAAGGATTGAGTGGATGACCCTCACAAAACCTACACAGGCGAATAAGAAAGGAACACAAGTCTATTGAACCATTCCAGGTGTGTGCCGCCACCTATCAAAGTAGCTTGTGGAATCAAGAAGATCCTGCGGAATCAGCCAGCTAGTCACATCAATGTACCCAGCCAACCATTTAACCAAATTACCCGCGTGTGTGAAGCTGGGTTCACATCTTCAGGATTTGCGTGTCCTGAACCAAAACGCGTCCATTTCTTTTTTTACCAAAAACTGTAGAAACCAATCAAGAATCCGCTGAACACATTTTAAGTAGCAACGCAGTATGCAAGCAGGTCGCACTGGGGAACTGAATGAGGCGTTGGTGACAAGTTGATCCGGGAAAACGCGACCCTGGTCGAGGGTCACTGGTGGTTGAAGGTGATAAAAAGGTCCATCCAGTACCCAGATGGGGTACCGAGTGTCGAGGTTTCAAGCCGAGGTGCCTCGCTGCAAATTTCTGAGTAGAATGTTCATGTAGAGGAGAGAGTTTCACAAGCAAATATGTAAACAAATCCTGATCTCAAGTAAAGCGTCCAAGCAAAGGTCTCACTACAGGCAGTTCACCCCAATTTCTTGTACAGCAAGGCACAATGATCGAAATTGTGCAATTGGTATTCACACTGAACGCGAGAGGTCCAGTTCCAAAGGTTCAGGGCTTTGCTGGGGTTATGGGTGAACGTTTGAATAAAACGTTCGAAGATTGTAACCAGAAGAACCTAAAAGCGATGGCCTCCACCCTAGTAGCGTCCTTGCTCCTAGTAGCGATGCCCTTTGCTCCTAGTAGCTTCTTGTTCCTAGTAGTAAGGCCAGGAGCCCCTAGTAGCGTTCTTGCTCCTAGTAGTGTTCATCATTTGCATTACTTTTGATTCAGACAACACTTTCACGATAACGTGCTGGTGAGCAGAGCTAAGGTGGTATGCGATACTTTTCATAGGTTTTTGCTGGAAGCTTCCCAATGCTGCTGCAGAACTCGCAGAGATGTGCAAACACGAAAGAAGGTCCGCACTGTTTTGAGCAAAGACTTTGGAAGGGTATCAACAACAAAGACGGGCGTGTTACTGTTTTTTGAGCATGTCAAGAAAGCCATCAACGAAGTACATATGGAATGACATCAGGGCTGAAAGGTTAGAAGCTGGAGGCGAAGGGAGGCATTTTGATCACTTTCTTTGGCAACATGTGGTTTATTCATGTATGTTCTTTGTCTCGTTCAAGTCACTCACATACAATGTGGTCAACTGTACTTTGGCCCTTGTTGGAGAGGTGTGCGTCCTACCTTCATGCCTCCTATTTCTGGCCTGAGCCACTTTGCGACCAAATGCAGGGCCAGATTTGCACAGTGCATGTGCTCAGTCCAGAAGGAGCTTCAAGATAGACAGAGGAGAAAGAAACAATCGAGGAAGCGATGGCCTCCAACCTAATAGGCGATGGCCTCCACCCTAGTAGCGATGGCCTCGAACCAATAGCGATGGCCTGCAACCTAGGAGCCATGGCCTCCAATCTAGAAGCGATGGCCTCCAACCTACGAGCGATGGCCTCCAACCTAAGAGCGATGGCCTCCAACCACTAGTTACCCCTTACTACTAGCTACTTAAGTTGCTTAAGCCTACCACCTTACCACCTCTCCGGCTACCCCCGAAGAAAAGACCGCGAGGGTTCTTGAAGCAAACTTCTCGGCCTCCTTGAGGAACTCACCCTGCAAGAAACTAGTTGCTAGTTCTACACTTCTACACTCACTGACTATCACCGGCACTCGTTTTCATCTACACTCATCTCCACTTTGTTTTGCATCGCTACTAGTAACAAGTGCATCGCTTCTAGTAACAAGTGCCTGACTAGTAGTAACAAGAAGCTATTAAATTAATTCTAATGATTTCGGCTTCTTGTTCCTAGAAGCTAGTGTGTTGTTTCATCTGACTTCTTGGAGCTAGGCACCCGATGGACCTCTCCGACATTCAATGGCAGGTTGCTGAGAACCTGACAATTGTTATTCAATGTTCAGCTTTTGCATATTCTCAGGGTGGAGGCCATCGCTAGTAGGGCTAAGCTTTTGCATGTTTTCCCTCCACTGTCAGCTGCATGTTTTGGCTCCACGACTCAGGAGGGAGTTCCGAAAGGTGATGCCACTCTTGACCTTGGCTGCGATTGGCCACATCTTGGCACGCACGGGTCTTGGGCGAACAAGTCGTTGTTTTTCTTTGACTTCCGCTATTTTTACTAGTGATGGCCTCCAACCTAGTGGCTTCTTGCTACTAGTAGGGCCAGGAGCCCCGATCGTAGCGTCCTTGCTACTAGTAGTGATGCCAGGAGCTACTAGTAGCGATGGCCTCCAATGCAAAAAGCACCCTTTTAGATCGGCGAGGGCGGCCATTCTGCTTTTATCCATGAGGTGCTGCCCTAGGCCGTCGAAGGACGTTTTGGATGGAAGTACATCCGTCATAAAAGACGTCACAGAATAGGCAAATAAGAAACAATGATAAAAGAATCGCACAGGATTTTGAAAGACAAAACATACTTTAAGGAACCTAATAACGATGGCCTCCTAAGATGTTTGAAACAAACTAGTGAGTAGAAACGACCAGAAACGAACGTGAGATGAACGTTGAGCACGTGACGCGATTGGCAGCTATGCACAAATTGCGCAAGGATTTGGCCATGTTTGCTGCTTTCAGGTGCTTTTGTCGCCTATGTGTGCCTGGGTACAAGAATATTCACACTTTAGCCAAGTTGAATTTTAGTTTCAAACATGTTTTCTATTTACAAGGCCAAGTGGGTTGTGAAGAAAAATAAAGGAACAATGAACAAATCCAATTCAATAAAGATCGCTCGCCGAGGCATGGTGCCCACACAGTCTTTATTATTGCAGCTTGCTGTGGTTCCTTCGGGATTGCTAAAGTGTGTGGCAGCTTATTTGCAAACAATTGCAGCGATGGCCTCCATCCTATTTGCAAACAATTGCAATGAACGTTGGACATGTTTCAGTCTGCTGTTGATGCTTGCATTTTTGTGTTGCGTGGCTTGGGCTCAAGGGTTTGGGAAAGGACTTGAGTTTGGAGACTGTCTCGGCAAGACTTCTGTGCACGTAGATCGTCCTTTCACTCGTCTTGTTCAGCGCGATGAGTATGAACGAAAGAAGTGACCGAGATTTCCGTGAAAGACGAGATGTGATGATTTCACGGGAGATTCCTTTGAATCAAGAGCTGCTGGCGAGCTTTAGTGGGCGGGGACGCCGACGTTTGCGAGACTTGAAACAAGCCACGGAGACTGTGCTGAAGTTGGATCGGGCCAAGTCTTGTTTGCAGGCACGTCATCGCAGGGCTGGCTGAGTGACAGTTTATCAACAACTCGGGCTTCGTCTTTACGTTCTCCAAAGAAGTTCATTGGCCGATGTAACTTCCACAAGAATCCACCATCAAGGTAGAAGAGGGCAAATAGAAGATCGACTGTAGCTTTACACGCCCTATTTACATGCCTTCAAAGCAATCCCATCTTCGATTTATTGAAGTTAGTTTCAACTTGCGGCATCACTTGCATCAGCAAGCTGTACTGTTGCAGCACTCAATCAAACCGAGCTCAAGAGTCCAAACGATAGAAACTGTGAGCGTCGAGTCGACCGGGTTGGTGACGACGTCCTAAATTTCTTTAGGGGCCAAGCGGTCGCCTGGAAAACCGTAGTGAATGCATGAAGCGCTCGGCCCGCTCGGCCTCCACCCTAAGTGCAATGGCCTCCAACCTGGAAGCAGTGGCCTCCAACCTAATAGGAATAGGAAAGACTATTGACACACTTACCCTTAGGCTTGATCGCGATGTGAGGTGTGTGTTTGGATTATCAGGCTGTTGCGCTAGCTACAGCTGTAAGCCCAAGCCCTATGAAGCATTTAGGGGAAGAACGACCACTTGACCAGATGTGCCCCAAAGATCTAACCAGAAACTCTTCCAGAAACTAAAAGCACGGACGCCTTGCAAGGTCACCCATCGTTGGAGTCGTATCAATGACCCGCAGCGACTGATTGTTTGGAGAGTAGGCCGACTGTCCCAAAATGCACGGTGTATCTTACTGGCTTTCCTGCACCTAGGAGCAAGGACACTACTAGGGGCAAAGGGCCTTACTACTAGGAACAAGAAGCTTTCCTTCCACCTTCTCCAGTTGTGTCCGATATCTTAGTCAATTTGTCCACATTCAATAAATATAGAACATATTAAGTCTTACTTTCAGACTAGGCAAGGACGCTACTAGGAGCTCCCAGCCTCGCTACTAGGAGCAAGGACGCTACTCGGCTCCTCAGATCAGACGCAGGCGACATGTGCTTTGTTTATAGTAGCGTCCTTTGCTCCTAGTAGCGATGCCAGGAGCCCCTAGTAGCGTCCTTTGCCCCTAGTAGCGATGCCCCTTGTTCCTAGTAGCGTCCTTTGCTCCTACCCCCCCCTTGCGCGCCCGCGCGCGAAAAGGTCCTAGTAGATTCCTTTTTTAGTAATTACAAGTCTAATTAAATTCGTAACTTGTTACTACTAGTAAGGCACTTGTTACTAGTAGCGATGCCAGGAGCCCCTAGTAGCGTCCTTGGCTCCTACCCCCCCCCGCGCGCGCGCGCGCAGCTAGGGGGTAGCTTGGCATTGTTCTTCATGTCGACGAGTTGTTTCTCCTGCCATGGTTCCCAAGCGTCCCAATCTTCAGCAAGTTCTTGACATAGTTGAAGGCGGCGTCTGGTAGGTGCCGAACGTGGTGTCAAATTGCGGGACTGGCGGGACTTGGCTTTGGCTTTGGCAGGACGAGAAGTGCGTGGCCGTTTAGTCGGAGGTGGAGAACAATCACTGTCATCCAAAGATGAGGGGATGTGGGGAACATGGGGGGTATCGGGGAATGATGGGTCGTCGTCACTGGTGGATGCATCAAGTTGGGATTGTGCCGCAATTGGTCGAAGATTCCCACTAAAGTGGAGTGGTGCCGGGGGATGGGGATTGGGGGGATTGAGGGGTGGCGGGAGGGGTGGCACACCCATTAGTTTTCAGGACCGGTGGGTAGCTCATCGTAGGACCAAGCGGAGGCTGTGCACGGAGAATGTCATGAATCTCATCCAGTGAAGAGGCAGCCAGTCGTAGGGTGGAAACACAATGAGCAATGCGGTCGCATTGCGGATGAGGGCCAGGTAGCATGGAACGGGTGACCATGGCGAGCAGCTCACAAATCGTGCGAGAAGGTTGGGGATAGAAAACCGAACACTCAGAACTGCGGGAGTGAATACTGATGTGTTTGGAGGTAGTCGGCGTAGTCCACGTATGTAGGGAAACTTCCAGCAGGAGTCAAGGGAATATCTTTCTTCTGAGGTGCTTCAACTGGGGAATGGGAAAAAAAGGAAACTGCAAATGGGAAAATAGCCGGAGAGCAAGCAGCAAGATCGCACTCTTTTCTCACAGCCAGCGGTAGGTATCACAAGAAAGACTGTGGGGGTGTCGCTTTACATTCCCAAGCTATGCCACGGATCACGCAATTGTCCGGATGGATGATGTAGCATTTTCCTTTGTCATGCTTGACAACTCCATGGTTTGCCGCGATCAGGCGTTCTCCTTCAGGTTCACCGCCTGGGGTGAACTTCTGGCCAGTGCCCCATGCCATGCAGTGAAGAATGATGCCCGCTCGGTTCTTTGCCATTTGGCAATTCTTGTCGATGACTCGAGCTGTATGCCAGGCGTCGTAGATCAGCTTGCCAGTAGTTTCACAGCCTTGGGCAAAGAAACCTTGGGCCTTGGCGGAGTGCTGTGTACTGGGTTTGAAGCGCCCGGACTGGAGGAGATTCAGAAGGTTGCCTTCTTCCGTGGCATGGCGTGCAAACACATGCACCGTGCCGTGTTGGGTGTCTGTCCGGTTGCGACGATGTGGGACGCGGTCAACTCGGTTTTTGTGCTGGAGGCGGGGGATGTAGAGGGAGAAATATGCCGTGGAAGTGTAGCCGTTGATGTCGTTGTCCCAGTTAGGAGTGGATCCACTGCTCAAGAAGCTCTAGGTCTTTTGCAAGGATGCCGGCGTTGGTGAGGATCCTGGCGACATAATTGGGCATAGGTGTATTGCGTTCGGCAAGCTGGTCGCATTGGTGATGAAGGTAGTGCAAAATACGGTTGAAAGTGTCTTTGCCGTAGGTGTGACTGGCGTGGTCATGCTCAAGGGATTGAATGGTCTGCGATGTGGTTCTGCGGCTGCAGTGCGGTCGCTGGTGGCAACGTGGATGCCCTTAGGGCGTGAGGTGGTAGTGGAATTCGGGGCAGAGCCGGAAGGGTTGTCATCTGAATGCTGGGGATTGGGAGTAAGACGAATGTTGGAACGGCGAGGGGATCGGGATCGAGTTCTGGGAGTGTAATTGGTACTGTAACTGGTCAATGGTGGTGGAGCCCAAATGCCACGCTTGGGTGGTGGACCTGCGGGCGGTTGGGGCTTGGCAGGGGGACGTTGTTTCGGACCGGCAGCTTGGGAGCGTGTGGGAGCAATAGTGGAATTGGTAGTAATGTCGATCGTTGCCGAACCGTGGCCTTGGGTGGAGGTGGTGTTACGTTGGTGTAGAGACAGGGTGTGACGGCTGTTTGGGTGGATGCGGTGTGGGGACGGTGATACGGAGTGGTGGTGGTCCTGGGAGAAGGAGCCGTAGGTGCAGGGGTTGATGGAGGAGTGGTGCCAGTCTGTGGAGCGGCTGTAGGAGAGGTCTGGGACTGCTCAGTGGTGGCTGGTGGTGAAGTGGAGATGGGTGGAGGGGTGAGGGTTGGGACCGGAGTCGGAACTGGGGGAGGTGTGGAGTTTGGTGGGAGCGGCATGTTGCGCGATGGCTTGCGGATGAGGTGGCCAGTAGGATTGTGGGGCGACAATCAGGGTGGGGGAATTCCGAGTGGGATTCGGGTCTGATGGGTGGGGTGGTTGTACCGGACATCCAGCTGGGTGAACTGTGGATGGAATCTGAACCAGGTGAGTGTTGGGAACGGGTTGGAGGTGAGGTGATATTGCGGTTGGGAAGCATCGGGGAGGTATATTGAAGCTGTGGATGTGGTAGTACTGGTTGAAGCGACGGAATCTGAGGCACCGGGAACTGCATGGTAGGAACTGCGCCATATGATGTTAAAGAGGTCGGTTGCGACGTAGGACCATAGGGTGAAGGTACACTTTGTGCATGCAACCCACTGGTAGTTCATGGCGTCGCAGTGGAAGGAGTTGACGATGAGCTCGTATATCTGGCCTAACATGACCTGCCTAAACTGATTAGTAGCGTGCTGAAATCCTGCCTAGAACGACTGTACAGGTGATTACTTAGAAGCATGATTCAGCAGAAAGCATCTTCAGATCTTGATCACAGTAGGCCCTGCGGCATGAAACCAGTGGTATCGCGCGGAACGGTCGTTCAATGGGTGTTCAGAGTGAGGTTCCGGCGCCAGAGTGGATCCCCCAGGATCTGGGTTTGTGCACACGCGGCGCCCCGTGATGGGGATCACACCACAGCCCTCAGTGGGACCCTGTGGCGAAACACACTTAGAGAGTTGCTCGCAAGAGCTATTGCCAGTACGAAGTTCCCCTTGACTTGATGGAACGTGGCTAAGTCGAAGGACTTGTAGATGTTTAACAATGTTTCTTCAAGACTGGTGAAACGATGAGTTAAAAATTGGCCTGCAGGTACACGAGAAGGCGTCCCTTCTCGCTTCACCAGTTGTGAGTCCGTCTTCGTTGGTCCAGGGACAACTCGCAACTGCCTGGACCCCCTGCTGCTTAACCTTGAAAAATTGTGAGTCCGGATCACGACGTACTGCAATGCTTCAGCCAAATCTAGCTACGAGAACCCGAGGAACAGGTACTCAAGATATTGCGTGCTGAACTGATTGCCAACGCCCTGAGAAAGCCTAAGTGAAAATTTGCCTGAGTGAAAGAGG